AATCAAGAGAGAACAACAGCAGGAACTCGTATGCAGATAATACGAGAGGGAATAAAACAACAAATATGGGATGCATTTCATTAATGAACTACTGGGTTCGGATATTCGGGTTCAGTTTTTTTTTCTTTCAAAATATAAGATGTTTTGAGAATACTAAGTACTTTTTAACTTTTTGAATATAGTATAAGTACTAGTATTTTACAATCTTTTGTGATTGGTCAATTATTATTACCATTTAAGTTTAAAAAAAAATAATTACTTTTTTTTAAAATTAATTACTTTTTCAATATTAATTACTTTAAAAAAATTCTGCAAATTCAGCAAATTCTGCTATTACTATTTAAGTTTGATATTATTCAGCAAATTCTGTAAGAAATTCAGCAAATTCATCAAAAATTCAGCGGTTACCATTTAGACCCTATATATGGTTTGGTGTTCGTACCATTAATGTGAAAGTAACGTGAGATAAAAAGGGTTTTTAATGAAAAAAAACTCTCAAATATTGTTTAATTCATTTCAAACCCTTCAACTAAATTATTAATGTTAAAACCCTTCCAACTAAATGATTTTAATGAAAAAATATCTTAAGTAAAAACTTAATGAAAAAACCCCTCAAATAAAGTTTCTTAACGAAAAAACCTCTCATTCTATAGTAATGTTAATTTACTACTATATAATTAGTATTAAATCGTTACTATGAGGTATGGTTTGTTAAAAAAAAATTACATTTATATTTTATTTAAACATTGTAAAATGTAATGTTTGTTTAGAAACAATATTGAAACCACAATACAATCAATTGAAAAATTCATACTTACACTTATATTTTAATAGAAAAATTCATACTTATAGTGGTTTCTAGTGGAACACTAATTTAAAACTTGAATCCGATGATTGTCTTATTTGTCAGCTTTTACTGGATCATACATATAACATAGAAAGAAGTTGGCACAGGCACATGCGTAAGAATCTACTTTATCCAAATTTGGTCAAGTTTAGGTGATTGAGTATATTTCTATATCGAATTAAAATCTCTTTGCTTACGAATGATTAATCGATCAATGTTGGAGTCATGTGGAAAAAAAAACAAATTTGAAAACATTAACACCCACTTAGCAGTGAAAACAACAAATAATATTACACAACAGAATTGTGGGCACTAAAAAAAGCACAAGGACTTACAAAGTTTTTACTTGCCACACAGGTTACCAAAGTCCAACATACTGATAAATGTTTTAGAGTCATTAATTACAGAGTTTCTCAGTGGTCTTAGTGATTCAATGTTACTTGACGACTTGCTTGGAAATTGCCAAAAAGACTATATATGACCTATCCCAAAGTGTATGCATTCTGCAAACTATGCCTCGGTGTTCTTACTGTAATTGAGAAATACTGTATATGAACTTAAGACCAAAGTGAAAGAGAAACTATGTGAAAACATAACTCAAAACCCATCAATTGAACTGAATAGATATAACATATAAAGTGAACATAGGAGAGTTTAAGAAAACCAACTATTTATTCAAGCATATATATTCTTCTTAAGACTAAATATAATGTGACCAAGGAAATAGGTTAATTTCCCTGAATCTAAATTCTAAAATTAGGTTAATTAGGATCTTTTACAGCATCATCAACTTAAGATTATTTACTATATAGATAATAATATTCGGATGCTGTCGCAAACTACTCGATCTTGAAAGTGAAGTTGTGGACGTCTTTCCAGTCGCCATTCTCCTCCAAATGCCTCTCGTAGAACATTACTTCTTTAGTGGGTTTCACGATCAATGCTGTTGTACTCACTGTTGCAAATACCTTCTTTTGTACCTGAAATCCAACAAAAGAGAGATTAATGTATAGTGAGAATCATAAAAAAGGTAGGCTCATTATTGTTTAATTCTCTTACATATACCTCGGAATTATGGTTAACTTCGGCTGGATTATAGATAAACCTCTCAGCCATCTCCTTCAATGTTGGTGGTACTTGTTGGTTTTTGTAATCACCAATGATCTCATTAAAAAGATTTTTCATATGCAACTCCTGCATAAATACGAAAGAGATGGAAAGTTTTGATTTATTTTGTTTTCTTGAAAAAGTATAGATTTATTGTCGGTGAAAAAAAATAATCCTAACCAATCGATCTTTGTTGTACAAATTTACCTTGACATATTTTCCATCGAATCCGGCGATAGAAGAAAGGGTATGGACACCAAAACCAACTTTTTCACTAACAACTTTGGTTTCCATTGCTTCTTCTTTGGAGATATGATACATTGAGTTTGTATTTATATCTGCCACAATTATTTGATAGGTCAACCCCGTACTATCCGGTTCTCTGGACTCCTTTCTCCCTATAATCAAAGATGAGATTCACCAAATTATATCTAGTTTT